GCCTGATTCAATTAGCCCGTCGCCGTACTCTTCGACCCAACGAGCGGCTGACTGACTGACTGACTGACTCTACCTTTCTCTCTAATCGATTCCTAATGAAGAGATTTGGTCGTAGGGAAAAAGACAGTTGAGAAAAAGACAGGAAGATGAACAATGATGAAGACACAATGGCACTAGTGGCAGTCAGTCAGTCAGTGGGAATCTGGAGATTGAGGAAGTGCTCATGCTAATTCACAGTAATGTGCAAAGGTAGGGGTACCCGGCGACACTGTGAGTATTTGAGAAGAAAACACTGCCTAACTGACTCATCATTGTCATCATCAATGACATCAGCAGCAGAGGTGTCATCTCAAAACAAGGGTAATTCTGTGGCAGAGTAAAAACAAAAAAGTCAAGCAGTAGCTAAAATCAGTGGCATTCGAATGAGTGTGCACAGTGGCAAGTCTATGATTAAAAGCCNACAGAGGTGTCATCTCAAAACAAGGGTAATTCTGTGGCAGAGTAAAAACAAAAAAGTCAAGCAGTAGCTAAAACCAGTGGCATTCGAATGAGTGTGCACAGTGGCAAGTCTATGATTAAAAGCCAATGTGAGCTTCTGACCAGCAGCAGCACCAGGATTGGGCGTCTTTTGAGTGCTTAGTGACTGATCATCCAATTACGACTGCAGCAGCAGTGGCAGTGATGCACTACCACCACCGGTAATACATCACTGGGGCAATTACCGACTCAATGCTTCCAAGCTCATTCATCACCCTATTGTCTTGCTGTCTTGTCTATTGCACAATTAGTCGATGCTGCACTACTGACGTTCATTCATCAGTGGCCCATTAACTTCAATTGTGCAGCAGCAGCAGCAGCACCGGCATTGCAAAGCACTCACTGAGAGAAAGAGGGTACCTTTAAAAAGAAAAATAATCGTTACTTGACCGATCGACTTTGCCATTAGCCCATTAGTAGGTTAAGTAGTTGGCACTAAGTGGCATTGTCCTTTTAGCAGAAAGAGGAGACTTCGATGAAGCCTTATAATTAAATTACTACCCAACAAAAACCTGTGGTAATGACATTTTTTCTACCTGCAGTTGATTCTGCTGCGACAGTGACATCCTTCAGCTAGCTTGCTGACGGGGACACAAACTGCATCAGTCAGGCACTTATTGTTGCCACTTGCTACGACAATTCCTTCTTTTTTACTTTTAGTCGCACCGTCGTCGCAATTACTGTCAAACAGGCTAGAGAACAAGCACACAGGTAAGAGAGAATGTAAGAAAGGTGAAAAAGGAAAAAGAGAGGGCATAAAACACAAAATCAATGAGATGGGGATACAGCTTTAAAAAGGAAAAAAAGCCACTCCGGCAGACATGTTGAGCATTGACAGCAGGCGCCGGCAGGCACAGTAATTACCCGAAGAGTGACCATCGTCTTGGCATTTTGGCGCCATAAACGATTCCTTTGCAAACAGAACAAATTCTCTATTAGACAGAATAGTTTAGGGGCAAATGTGATAACGATTTGGAGCGTCATTAAATAGAATGTGTAAGTCAGAGAATATTGGAGAATTGATAAACACAAGTGAACACTGACATTTGTGCGTCTTTTTGCCAGAGGAAGTCAGGACAAGACGCCAATGTGCTTCTGCTGGTAGAAAATCACCACCTGGCCACACAGAAACAAAAGTAGACACAGGTCAAAAGTGCAGAAGGGAGAAGGTGAAGGAAATGTTTCTGTTTCTGCCAGTGCAAATGATCAGCAGTCTAGCAGCCGCCATTGATCAAGCCATCAGCTTGAAGAGAAGGGTAAAGCGTGAGCAGTAAAGGGCGTCTATTTGCATTTGCAGCTTCCAGATCCATAAATTGTTCTAAATAGTATAATAAAAGTTGTCCTGCATTCGGATTGATGCTGCCAAAAACACAACTTGGCTTGTAAGTGTGTTTGCGCAAAGGAGCGACCGCTTCTTCGTCTTCTTCTTGTGCTCTTCACAGGCGCGAAAATTATCATCATCAAAGTCGGCACTGTCTTTAGGCACATCTCCTTTTTTCTCTCTCAAAATTCATTGGCAAAACAGTGCCGAAAAATTGTTGGTATATTTGCATAGCAGCAACAGCAGACACACAGTGAAAAACACTTCAACAGTATAATTAAAGTGACCCTTGAGATAAAGTGGCAGACACAACAACAAAACGACAAGACAGAACAACATTTTGCCGACAAAGACAAAGACAAAAACAAGAGATGCTTTTAGCAGTAGGAAGAGCACCTTTGGTCGCAAAATCAGAAAAAAATTGATCAACAATTGAGGCGGCTCATTTGCGGCGATGGCGGTATCACCCTTCAAAAGCAGAGTTTGGAGGAAAAAAGAAAGAGATAGATATGAGTGCATTAGGAGGAGAAGGAAAAACAGCAAAAGTGGAAAAAAGAGTAGAAAAGTAATTATCTCCAAACAGGAAGAAATCATCAAACACTTGAAAATATTAAATTGGTAGGATTCACTTACATTATCTATTTGTAGATGAAACAGCAGTTCACCCATGAGATCATGAAAAGAGTGTTATTGAAAAACTTAAAGATGAATCGATTGACTTTAAAAAATAGGCAATTATTAATTATTAATTATTAATTAGTGATGCACCGCCTGTCCAAAAACTGGAAAATGAGAAAAACAATAAAAGAAAAATTGAACTTTGATTTTTCTTTTCATTCTGTTCTGGCGCCACAAAAAAACCTGCTCAATCGGCTCAACGGCGTCACCTATCCGCTCACAAAGACACCTGTAGAAAAACATCAATTTGCTTTTAAAACTTCAAAAAGGAAGGTGCATTTCAATCAACTAACTTTGCATGTCAAGATTTTTTATCTGTAAACCGACTCTTTTAAATTGAAGTTCTATTTGAGAATGAATAGTCGTTTAACAGTAAAACAAGTTCTTTTAACTAATCTATAAAATGTGAACTACAAGTTCCCTTTAATTGATTGTCTTTTCATCAGTCATACTTTGAGAAACGTGTTCATGAGTTCCAGCAAAAGTAAAGGGTCAAAGAGCAAAGGTATTTTAAAAGTATCTCATTCATGCCGTATCCACTTATCCTCAACAACCTCATTTCAGTAGAGAAAAGCAAGTCGGCAAAAAGTGGTGCCAAGGATGGAGCATCATCTGCCACTGGCACTCCTTCGGTCGGCACCACCACAGGCACATCAAAGGCGTTCGCTGCCCCGCCTGAAACATCGAAACTGATCAGCAAGTACGTCTCCAAAGTGAAGACCAAAGTGAAGCGAATGTCGACGTTGAAGATCAAAGTCAAGTCAAAGAGTCGATCGGTGAGGGAGCCGGGAAAGAGCGTCAGCGGCGGTGCAGCAGTCTCCTCGAGCAGCTCACCCGGTAGTACTGCTGCTGCTGGTGCCCAAAAGTCTAGCAAATTTGCACTGCCCGTTCCGGCCAAGTCAGCGCCTGTCCCGGCCACCAGCATCAAGGTGGTGATGGGAAAGTCGGCACCAGCGTCAGCGCTCGGCAAATCGAGCCGGCCATCCTCGGTGACGCCCAAGTATCATCCGCCGCCGCCGCAGCAGCCGAAGCACAGCTTCAGCAGTGGAGGGCACAAGAGTGGCAAACCGGTGCTCCTTCCAAGTGCAGCTGCCAACAAGAGCAGCACCCACAAAACCTCAACTCAGCAGCAGCAGCCGCCTCGAAGCACTCGCACTCGATCGGCGAGCAGCAAGCAGAGCAGCGCCGGCTCCAAATCGATGGAGAAGGACCGCTCCAATCTGTACCGCTGTCCGGAGTCGTACACTGGCGAGGCAGCACCCAATCAGCCGACCCCTTTTCAGGCCTTCATCGGCGAGCCCATCGTCCTCGAGTACGACCCGCTGCAGCTCGACAAGGTGCTCATCATCAACTCGGCCAGCGTGCCCTGCTGCTCTCGATACGCTCTCGCCGTGGGCTTCTTTCAGCAGTCCACCACATCGGCCACCTGCACATCCTCCCCAGTTCAGAGTGGCCTCATGCCGCTGGCCTGCACCGACGGCGCCTCAGTGCTGGACAACGTCAACCTGCCGCCGCCCCGAGAGGAGAGCCTCGGTGGGTCCAGTCTGCCGCCGGTGTCTGAGGGACAGAGTGCGCCNTGTGGGCTTCTTTCAGCAGTCCACCACCACATCGGCCATCTGCACATCCTCCCCAGTTCAGAGTGGCCTCATGCCGCTGGCCTGCACCGACGGCGCCTCAGTGCTGGACAACGTCAACCTGCCGCCGCCCCGAGAGGAGAGCCTCGGTGGGTCCAGTCTGCCGCCGGTGTCTGAGGGACAGAGTGCGCCACTAGCATCACCAGCACCACTGCTTGACCAGTCGCTGATTGACGCCGCCGGTGCCTCCATGGTCGTGCAGCAGGGCAAGGTACCGCCGCCCAGGGAGGAGAGCACCGGCGGAACCAGCACTTCACCACCTTAAGATTGTGCGTGCACTCCCGCACACACACACACACTTCTTCGATTGTCAAATCAGCCAGTCAATACATTGTATCTGTTCTTCTACTTAAAAAACTACCAACTAAACCTGGCTTTCTAATGGGTGCTTGCACAGAGCTGGGGAGTGTAAAAGATTTATTGGAAAAAGTTGCACGTTTTAAAACTGTTTTTCGCTTGTTTGTTCGTAAATTTACACAATACTGTAAAGAATCTGAGAAGGGTAAAGACTAGTGGCGCTGATATCGGCTGCTCCTCTACTCAATGGTAACGAATGCTGAAGATTAAATTTCGTTCTGAGCATCTTGAGCATACTTGATTATTGGCTTCTCCTCAGCAGTAGTAGAGGCGGTTGCGAAACTCCTCGTGAATTTTCACCCCCACGTTCAATTGAGCGATAACCAGCGCCTCCTCTTCCGTCTGCGTCAAGGTGGTCACGCTGGTGGTCTGGGAACGTTGTGCTTCCTGGGAGGAGTTGAAAAGAGAAACAAAAAACACGTTTAGTTGCACGACATGTCATCAGCAATTTCCCCAAACTAAATACTACTTACGAGGTGAAGCTTTGAGCGGTAGGCGCACAGATCGGCGTAGCGCACCGGCGTCGGAATGCTAGGAACAAATGAAAAAACAGATTAGAAATCAAAGCTGTAAGAGTTTGAAAGGAGTTTCCGCGTCTTACGAAATGATCTTGTTTGTACGAGTGCAGTTGTGGCAGGCGTAGAAGCAAAACTTCTGTAGAGCGTCTGTGCTCAGCTTTAGCTCATCTAGCAGGCGAATGTACTTGGTCGGCTTGGAGGTGCCCTGAAGAAAGAAGGAGGAAACAGGGGGCTTTAGAACAAAAAAACAGAAAACCTAGTCATACTAAAAACACTTACGAGAGGCGAAAAGTGCGAGTTCAAGTAGAAGACGTCAAAGGTGGGCTCCACGATTGAAGTGTCCACCACTGTTCCACTGGGAACGTTGTAGGTGGGCCGGCGACCAGAGGTATCCGGGTTCGTGAGGACAAAGCGTGCGTGATGGCGTTTCTAGAATTAAAAATAAAACTCAATATAAGGTATACGAAGCATACAGCAATCAGAAAGTACCTGAGTCACTATGAAGGTAATCTTCGCCTTGCCACCCGGCACCACTTTCTTAACTGCGGCGCGAATCAGCGGTATCTCCTTGCTCTTAACCTGCTCAAACTGTCCTTCGGAGACGCCGTCGCGAAAGACAAAGATATTGTCGGGAAAGAACTTGTTTTCTTTGTGGTAGCACTTGAGCAGTTCTTCGGTCTAAGAGGGAGGTGGTGGTGTAAAGGTAAAAAATAAAAGCTCACAAAAAATCAGCACCGAGTCTCACATACCATCTCATCGAGCTGCTTCACCATCTCATCGCGTTCATTTTTCTGCACTCGAATGGAGGCCACGTACTTGGTGAAGAGCGGGTCGTAGGAGCCGACGGCGGCAGCAATCGAGGAGAGGACCTTCTCCGAGAGGCCTGGGTGGTTCACGTCGACGCCCATTACCATAGTGCGGGCCAGCTTGAACGGCAGCTCTTGAATGACGTTGGGCATGATGATCTGATTCTGGCCCCTCAGTTTGCCGTTCACCTTGAGGAGAAAGTTCTCCAGGTAGCCAGGCTTCAGGCTGGTGGCGTTATCTGTCTTGAAGCAGCAGCTCATAATGGCGTGCTTCTGGTCGCAGTAGTGCTTGATTAGGTTGTACATCTCCGCCGGCGGCACTGAATCGTGGACTGAAATGTCGAGCAAAATTGTGAAATGGTTACAGTTAAATACAAAGCTTCAAAAAAACCATAAAAAATACTTACACGTTGGAATACCTAAAAACATGAGTTTGCACTTGGGCTTTTTAATGTTCAGATTGGCAAAGATGTTNATTAAATACAAAGCTTTAAAAAAATACCATAAAAAATACTTACACGTTGGAATACCTAAAAACATGAGTTTGCACTTGGGCTTTTTAATGTTCAGATTGGCAAAGATGTTCGAGAAAGTTGCCGCATCATTGTTCACCGGTACTATCGCCAGTGGATCGGGTCGTGTCGCAAAGTTCAGCCCCATTTGTCGGGCTTGCTTGATGAGCGCCTCTGCAAAAACGCTGAGCTGATTACTGTTGACCTTGTTATCAAAACAGAAGATGCCCCACTCGGTGGGAACAGTGCCAGGGGCAAAGAAGCGTTTTGGGCCGCCGGCACAACCGACAACCGGCAAGACGCGACCGCTCAGCTGCGCTGGCTTCAGACAGATCGTCTTCAGGCCAAAGGCTTTCTGCAGGTCCGGTTTCAGCGAGGAGACATTTTCGACGATCTTCTTGCAGCGATCAAAGTAGACGTTGGGTGGAAAAGTAGACTTGAGCAGCAGCTCATTTTGCGTGTTTCGGTCGACCTTCGATGCGGAGAGGAACTGCGGGTCCACAAGGTAGCACAGCTCCATTGGGATGTAGGTTTTCTTTCCCGCGGTTTGCACCAACGGGAAGGCCTTGGTAGTGATATTGTACTTATCTTTAAAGTAGCTAGCAATGGTCGTTTTTGAACCCTTCTCCAGTGGCTGATCCTGTGGAGTGCGAGAAACGATGCAGTCCACAGTGTAGACGATCTTGACCACTTTGCCTTGCTTCTGCACGTGGTGGGTGAACACTTTTAAGTGCTTCAACACCTTGTTCACCTCTTTTAGCTTGTAATAACTCAGTTGCTGCCTGTTGGCCAAGTCGCGGACATTTGACAAACACTCGACCGCTTGCGGCAGCGACTTTATGGACTGAGAAATTAGGCCGGCAGTTTTTAGGTGGACGTTGAGGGCTAGGCCAAATTCAGTCATTTGGACAGATTGGATGAAACCACTTACAAAGTCGGCAAATGGCGCCTTGGAGGGAAAAGGTTAGCAAAACAAAATGTACAATTGCAGACAGAATAAAGTACGAACTCAGTTGACTTACCTTGCACATGGACTGACGAGTTGCCATGTCGTAGAACTTTCGCTGATGGCCCACATAAGAACCAGTGCACATAAAACGAAAAACCAGATCGAAGATGGACATCACTCGCTCAGAAATGTCGCCCGTGTTTTTGTCATAAAAAGACTTCACCTGTGAGAGGTCAACACGATCCACTCGCATTATTTTTAGCATGAAGGCGCCCGGTTTCCCATGTGGAAAATTCACATTGACAGTAAAGACTTGCTCTTCGCCTTTAAGGTTGATTTGTTTAGTGGTATAAAAGTTGCGCTGGCCATCCCAGAGGTACTGGAGGTCCTTGAAGATAGCTGGGTTCGTTTTCACCAGCTCCTCAATGATGAAACTGGATGATCGTGTCAAAAAGCGCATAAAGGCTTTTTTAGCTACATCATCATCTTTAAGAGAAAGCTTCTCCAAAGACTTGGCGATTGAAGGCTGTCGTTTTTCGCGCTCAGTTGGGGTTATTTCCACGTCGTAGTGGAAGACGACAACATCACTTGTTGAGATCCTGTAAAAGTTGGCCAAAAGTTGGACCTTTTTTCCCACTGTTCCAGGGGCCATTCGCTGGGGAACAATGGCGGAGTGGGCCACTGACTCGACCATGGGCACATTGTTTTCGGAATGACCGCCTCGGCCGCCGCCACCAGGACCACCTCGGTAGCCTCCCCCGCCACGACCTCCACGACCTCCACGACCTCCTCGATCCCCACCTGGGCCACCACGACTACCGCCACTGCCACCACGATAGCCCGGCGACGAGAAGTTGCCGCGCCCACCTGCATTAAAAGGAGAAAATTAGCGCAAATCTCAAGAAACACAAAGATCGTTTACGATAGCTCATGTTGAAGATGATTGAAGTTGGTTGAAGACGGAGTTGAAGAGAACGCGGAGAAGGATGATTGGAAGACCCGAAACGGACTGCCAGCGCTGCAGAGAAATCGGCGACGACGACAGCGGAAAACGTGCTCTTGATGTTTCTCTCGACAACGACACCCCCGCAGAGAGCGTGACGCCAACCAAAAACCGACGCCCTCGCAGCACACTGCTAGTTCCTCAAAAAGAATCCAGAAAAAGTTGTTTCATCTCTCCTTCTTTAATGATCTTTTCTTTCTAAAAGTATTAATTACTAATTGCTGTAACAGTGCTTGGGGGATAGGGCGGCAACTGCTAGCCACTACCACCACCACCATGGTTACCCGGAGATAGATCAGAGCCGCCGAGACTTTCCTGTCGCGGCGGCGGCACCTTCTCCTGCTGCGTGAGCATGGAGGCGCCGGCTGAGAGCTCCAGCGACTCGGCGACGCCGTTGCCGCTGGGAATGGCCGCCTGTTGCTGTTGTTGTGACTGTTGCTGACCGCCACCACTGACCTGAGGACCACTGACACCTGCTCCTCCTTCGGTGACCATGGCCGTACCGCCGAGACTTTCCTGCCTCGGTGGAGGTACAGCATTGCCCGCCGAGTCAAGCAAGGACGCACCAGAGCAGGCGATCATTGAGAGAGTCGCATTAAGCGGCGCCCGTTGTGGTGCTGATGCAGGTGCTGATGATGCCGGTGATGGCAGAGTTGGTATTGGCGGTAATAGAGGGGGCGGTGGTGCTGCCGACGATGAAAGAGCTTGAGAAACGGTGGCCATCGGAGAAGAGGGTGAAGAGGAGGTAGAAGAGGACGGAGAAGTGACCCCGTTTCCTTTGCCACGTCCTCCGAGATACTCCAGTGCCACTGTGGTCACCGCATCGAGGTCGTCAACGTGGTGGATCACAATGTGTGGGCCGATAAACGGCTCAAAGGGCAGCAGAGCCGATTCGGATCGGTACGACTCGGGGCTGCGGTAGATGGCCGAGTTGCGGGTGAGCGACTTGAAGCGAGCTTTGCTGGCCGACGGTTTGATTGCTGTAAAAATTAATGAGAGTAAGTTATCTATTGAGCTCTTATCAAAGCATACCAACACTTACCTTGTGAAGAGGAGGGCCTCGGTGCAGAACTGCTCGGTGATGACTTGGAGAGCGTCGATTCAGTCGAAATGGGCTTCTTTGCTGGAGGCTGTGTTTTGTCAGGTGAGCTCTTTCCGCCAGTGCTCTCAACTGACACCGTCGACTTTGACTGGTCTGAGGGGCTCGCCTGGCCACCCAAAGCCTTCTTCACCAGGACAGCACTTGACGCCCCCTTGTTTTGTTGTTTCGTCGTTGACTTGCCCTGCTGCTTGATCTTCACCGTCGACTTTTGCTTCACCTTTGACTTGGAGGTCTGCTTCGACTCATGTCCAGAGAGGCTACTTCCTTTCGCTCTTGCTTTCGATTTACTTTGAGCTTTGGAGCCTTTAGAGGCCAAACTAGACTTGCCATGCAGCAGCTTTTTTGTGGACTTCACCGCTGACTTACTGCCGCCGCTGCTGCTGGCCAACTTTGACTTTGCCTTTGAAGGGTTTTTGAGCGCCTTATTCTTTGATTTTACATTGCTCAGCAGTTTTCCTGTGTGGGTCATCAAAGTAAAATTAAGCACCCTTAAACCATTTCCCTTCAACTCACCTTTGCTTTTAAGACTCTTGACGGTAGACTTTTTCATGAATCACTGGAAATGGTTTGAAACGGTTTTTTGGACAGCACAGAGGCAAATAACGACAAATGAGGAGCGTCATAACACAAATGTGACACACGCTGTACATTTGACCTTTTATGAGAGAATAGCAACAATGCAAACGGCAAATTTTCGAATTTGAGCAAACACTTAAACTTTTCAGCATAAGTTGAGCAAATCAGGCAATGTGCTCTATCTCAAGTGAGTTCTCCTGCTCCTCTTTTTGAACTTTGACCTTCCAGCAGACGTCTGTGGCGGCCATCATGTAGGCAATGGCGATGACCACCGTCCAGAAAACCAACACAAAGACGGAGGCGAGGATGACCTGCCACTTAGCGTCGTCCTGCAGCAGCATTTCAGCACCGTTTTCATCATCATCATCTGCTACATCGGCAAAGTTGTCTTCATCGTCGTCCTCGTTTGTGGGCATCACTAGTGGTTTACTGATGACTTTGACTGCCTTCTCAGGGTTTATCGCCTTTTCTTTCTCATTATCTTCATTATAAGCATTCTCGGGTTTCTTGACAGTAATGCTAGGGTGCAGCAGTTTATCAGCAGAACTGAGTGAATTGTGCTTGCTAAAAAAGGTGGTCATTTATTACTTGTGTGTGACAACAGTTGGCTCAACAGTTGCTCTTGGGGACGTACCGCGGATATGACTTGACGGGCCTGCCCTTTACTTCCCGCTGTGATGGCTGGGCACCGTTGACAGCCAACAGCAAAAAGACAGTAGCATGAGCAATGAAGCGGAACATATTGATAGGGTCGATCTGGTGAATGATAGCAGGAGAAACCAGAGACTGAGAAATGGAGTTAAAATGATCGTTTTGAAGGAACTTGAAACAAAAGTAGCCCAGATAAATGACTGGTCATCAACCACTTCAAAAGACGTCAAAGCAAACGTGCGCACACTAACGGATCAAAGTTGAAAANAGTTTTTAAGGGACTTGAAACAAAAGTAGCCCAGATAAATGACTGGTCATCAACCACTTCAAAAGACGTCAAAGCAAACGTGCGCACACTAACGGATCAAAGTTGAAAATTGAAATTCGAACTTTCAACTTCTTCTGAATTGAAAACTCATCTGGCAAGTCACAATCTGTTAACAGCTCAAAATCTTATTTTTATTATCATTGCTTCTCAGAAAGTGAGGCCCGTTTTCTAGCCAGAAAACCGAAAGAATTGGCAACAGGCAAGTGCAATTCAACACCAGTGCCGTTTTGACTTTGCGGTGCCATAAAAAGTGGTGCAGAGTACCAAGGCTGCAAATCTAATCCTCAAATCTTCTCCTTGCTACAAGCAGTCGGCCTATAAGAAAGAGAGGGGAAGATTTACAGCAAAGCATTAACGCACACACACATACTCTATATTTGTCAGCAATAGTCAATGGACAGTGGTCAGTCAGTCGCTGGTGAGTGGCCCATTTACAGTGCGCGGCTGATGAGTGCACTGCACAAAGAAGCGATCTCCAAGGCAGCACATTGAAGAGGACGCATTGAGTTAAAGCCGAATCTGTTCAGCACAACTGCAGATTGAACCGCCAAACGCAGAAATTCCGCAAGGCCATCTGCACTTTTCTTGTTTTCTAGGAAAACGGCAACTCAAACTTGCAACAGCATGCATTACAGTAACTTGCAGTGCTGGTACTACAGCAACAACAGCCGCAACAGCTGCATCAGTTGTTGCTTCAGTGCCCTCTTTCGCTGGTGATTTGTGCACCCAGCAACCAAACGAGCACGGAAGCTCAAGCTTCCAGTCACTAATGTTGACTTGAGATTTGTGTGACTCACCGAAAAAAGGGAACAGATGACTTCCGATGAAGGAATTGTGCCGACAAGCAGTGCTTATGCACAGATTGGCCTTCACTTCAGTAGTGCCTTCTACTTCATCGGAAGCGTTTCCTCTTTGTGGCCCTGAGTGACGGTCGTTACGGTAATTTATTGCTATCATTGCTGCATTCAAAAAGCAAACACTAATCTTCAAAAGTGGCAAGGCAGAAGAAGAAGAGAAAGGCATTGCCGACCACTACGGACCACTACCACATACAATGCACTAAATGGTCACCACCATCGTTTAAACCAGCATGTTTTATTTTGTTGTGATGTTTGTGAATGTTGAGCGTACAAGGAGAGAAAAAANTAATCTTCAAAAGTGGCAAGGCAGAAGAAGAAGAGAAAGGCATTGCCGACCACTACGGACCACTACCACATACAATGCACTAAATGGTCACCACCATCGTTTAAACCAGCATGTTTTATTTTGTTGTGATGTTTGTGAATGTTGAGCGTACAAGGAGAGAAAAAATGGATAATACAGTTTGAGAGTATTCAGCAAGTATTGATAAGAACGATGATCAAGTTAAGAGAGTGAGAGAACATTTGTTGACAGTGTTCAGAGGAATCTAATCAGTGAAGCGTATTCAGTTTCACCATTTCAGGCACCGAAACTTCCTCATCCCATATCTTCACTCGAGCAACTTGGCAATGATGAAGGAAGCCGTTAGACAGAACCATTTCATCTCTACTCTCTGCACTACTCTCCCGGTGCCTGCCGTAACGTGCCAGATGGGCTAGAAGTGATCGTTCGCTCATTGTCTTCAAACCGAGCACCTTCTCCAGACGGTGGTAGAGGGCGACAGGGAAGCGAAAGGAGACATTGGTGCATTGCTGGCTGCTGATGGCCCAGCGGCCCCGACGCTTCTGCTGACTGGTCTCGTAGAGCGCCCGCAGCAGGCGGTCACAGTCGGTGCAGCTACGAGCTCGGGCCCAGTTGGTCAGCGGCACGCCCAGGTGGTCCATCATCAGCAGGTGGTGCTGGTCCTGCCAGGGGTACATGAACTTCTCGTCTGTATCGTGACTGGATTCCAGGTCATCAGGCTGATCGGAGAGAGGGTGGTGATGACCGTTGAGCCCGTTGAGCCCTTGCTCCCCATTGGTTGGTGTTGAGCCATTGAGAGATGTTTTCTTTTGAAGGCACACTGAGCGGCGGCGGTGGTGACGGCGGTGGACTTCGCCCAGTTGTAGATACAGGCACTGCTCGGCATTCTGCTCAATGCGCAGGCGATTGGTAACGGCGACGGCAGACAGCAATAATTTGCCTCCTTTCTTCTTCGCCTCCTCCTCCTCTTCGTCGTAGTTGATGAAGAAGTCCGCAAAGTAGTCTGTCAGGTGGTCGAAGAGCGCCGAGTTGAACAGCGGCAAGTACTCGAGCAGGTAGTCGGCGAATGTGTACGGATTGGCCACGGTAGTGGTGGTGGTGATGGGGTATTTATTGGCCATTACGAAGTTGATTTTTCAGTTCGATACAGACGGACCATTGATGTGGAGAGCAGAGAAAAATAAAAACTTTAGTTA